CATCAAATCCAACATTAATTTGTAGCTGCAGAAGTCCGTAGAGTCGATTTGTGCCGCCGTAAGTATGTCTTTTATTTTATAATTGCAAGCTGTTCTTTGTTTACCTCTCATTACATTTGCAAAACACTTTATTGTGAAATTATGTGAAGACCCTGATAGATTCTGTAACATTTATCAGCAGAATGCCAATGCGTCGAAAATTGTAAACGTGAAACACAACTTAGGGTGAACCAGCTTGGCCGCGCAAACATGAGTGAAAATAAAGTGGATTTCTTCCTTCATATATTACCCACATATTTACGTTTACAAAAAATATCGATAAAACGTGCACCACACAATACCGACACAGCATACATTAAACTATGTAGTATTTTTCATTTTCAGATCAATGCAATAGGGAGGAGAGGACTCGATGTCTAGGTTTGTCCAAGCATTCAAACTTGCATGCCTAATGCGTAGATTACTATGTGCTGACACCGGTAGGAGATTCTTAGGGTTATCCGAAATTTTCTTCTTTAAATGTCTATTCAGCTTACAGTAGCCCTCACTGCGATGTTTTGACTGATCCCGTAGCAGTTATTTCATTATCTGAGCATGCGTGCGTAATGCAGTGATTTATCGAATGCCGATTCATCCTGTGTTAGTTTTGATTTTGCCCTACTGACCACATACAATTTGGCCAGTCAAACAACCAAATTTGAGCATTTTTGGGGCCGTTTGCTGACAGGATGTAACGAGTACTCCCGAGGAACCAGGTGGTCTAACCTGCATGTCTCACGTTCAAGCCATAGTTAAACTGACGCTGAATAAGCTACATCAAGAGCGTGACTGGCGTGCTTGTCTCCAAAGTAAATCGTATGCTGTTGTTGAACTATTATTGCTTCAAAAACTTTGCAGCGTTCCGAGGAGAAGTGGCGCAATTTTTGTATTTCCTAACGATTTTAGGCGCACATCCGAACAGCCAACTAGAGAAAAGTAGGTCAATTCACTGATTACTGCTCTATATGTTTATTGTTTTGTGAAAAGTAACGGTGATCATAAGAAGTTGTTACGTAGAACTACTTACATTTTCATCACTAAAAGACATGGCTTCGTTGCTAGAGTAACTAGCGTGTTGAATTTATATGAATATCTCCGGTAATTTTTTAGGCTGCTATTAGTGTAGCCGTAACTTGGCAAAAATATTTCGCATTTTTAGGGTCGCCCTCCGTTGGAAATGTCTATAGCGCCCTTCTCAGGAAACGCAACCACACATAACGTTTATTGATCTGAAACTGCGAACACGCTTGTACACCAAAATTCATATTAATCAAAAACATTGAGCAGGTTATGGATGTACGCTATCTTCAGTTGATAGTATTGCATCACTGGACTAAAATAACAAAATGCAGGAAAGATGGCATACTGACTCACATCCAAAACTCTTCGCTATATACCGAAAAATTTAGAGCTGCCCCCATTTGGACCATCTGGTGTAGTTAAATTTTATGTGGGCATCCAAACGCAGTTGAATGCAGTTTTGGTTCGGTTCGTCCGGAAACTTTCCGGATATGTTAGAAATCGAAATTTATTTTTACAAGCCAGCTGCTCCAAAGGATTTGCATCCCCGCATGACACATCTCTTCATTTATTTTGTAACGCTTACCTCAGGCAAATGTTGGGACGAATCTCTGTACCGCTGCAATGGTGAGCTTTGTTGCTGAATTTATGGATAATTTGCTACCGGGATTACAATTTTAAAATAAAACACAACTTCTTTTTAATCGCAGCCCGCTGCGGTAACAATGAACAATGCAAGTGTGAGTTTCCGCATTTGGATCCCCTCTAGTAATTTCTAACAGCTAGTTCTGCTAATGTGCTTGGCGGGTCGACCTGTTATAGTATCCAGTTTCAGGGTCACTGTCTGAAGAGCTGGTGATAACATGTCCTTAAAAGTGTCTCGCTAATGGGTTTATGGTTTCAAGAGTTTTTAATCGAAATCCGTCAAAATGTAAATTTTCCATAGATATTTTTTAGAGGTGACTTTCATATATTATCTATAGAGCTGAGAAGTTACAATCCCTCCTGGTGAATATCTATGAGAGCTGGCCCAATGTGGGGCTCTGTGACGGAATCGGACTTCTTTCTACGCACGAACGCATACAACAACTCTGGCCGGCAATAATATAACTGTAATGTGACCTTAGTGCCATTGCACTCGTCACTAATTAGCGTGGATCGTCATGCTGAACCATGTTTTCGGTTTAGGGACTATTTTATTCATTTTACACATGAAGCCTTGGGTTTTATTGCGCAAAAATACAAGCGCATCTACTAGGCGGACTTTCAATGTCTAGTATATTCCGTCTGACACGAAGTTCAAGCCGAAAAATATGCGTGCTTCATTTTCAGTGATTTGCCGCCAGTTACACGCTCCGCTAGGTAAGGCAGAATTCCGCTTATGTCTACACTTCCGTCATTTTGGCAACGTGCAGGTAGCATGTGAATCATCAAAACCTGTCTGCATGTTGGGTTAGTATATGTGCATGAGATGAATTTTTGAATGATGTTTACCCAACATACGTAATCATACATGCCCTAATAAGCAACTATATATATTTACCTTTCCAGACCCATAAACAATGTCGTTACCTTGGAAATTGTTTTCAAATTACAGTGGGATTGCACAACATAATACTTCTTTGTCATCTTTGAAAGCAGGGAAAGGTCTAATCCTGCCTAGTTGGTGGGAGATTGCAGCATTCCAAACTGAATTTGCACCTACCGTTGGATGGCGACGGATGATTATGTGAGCCGCCTTTGTGTTTGATTGTAAACTATGCACGGAATGGGTTGTGAAGATGCACATTTCTGTTCATGCGAACCGATTGCAGCAACAACGAATAAAGCCACTTTAAGAGCTATGTGCAGCTTTTAGGATAAGCAAAATATTTTCCAGCAGAATATCTCCTTAGTTTAAGGTATCTATTTAAACTTCGTACATAGAGCGCCCAGCGCGCGGACTCGAAGTCATCCTGCTATGCGTGTAAATACTGGGAATTTAGTTGAATTTGGATATAAAAGCAAAGTTCACTTTCGCCTAAAGAAGCAGGCAACAATTATTCTGAACACCCAGCAACAAATTCGTGTGGGTAGTTAACCCACATCAGTGGGTGCCGCACTAAATTTTGGCTGTTCCAATCAATGCTCCAGTCTCCCTGAGGACGCCGTATATCTGCCTACGAAGTAATGTGTGTTACTGTAGTATCCCATCATGGTTACTGCTCTCGAGAAGTTCTGGCACAAGTACCGCAGCGAATTATGGTGAAGTCGGACCTCAAATCTCGTGCAACGGTGTCTGCAACCTTTGCTTGAATATTGGCTTTCTATGTAGATCAACTAACTTTCCCGCGAATGAAATCAAACAGGTCGATTGTTCGCACTTGTTAATTTCTTGGCCTTTAGATTTGCGATCTGGTTGTTCCTTCAGACAGCATTGTAATCACTGTGGTCCACACAGAAAACGGAATTTAGAGATTAGGACATCGGCTACTGGGACAGTGACTACCGCAGATCGTTTCTCTAGTGGGTGCTTTGCACTCCGCATAATGAACCCAACTATTTCATCAAACGATTGGATAAATCCAGCCAAACCGGTCTTGGAAAAGAGGAGAGTAACGATTATTAGTAGGTCGGTCCACTACATACGTTTACGTGCGGGAGCACAACGTAACTCACAAGTGTCGCACGGGACGTTTACGAGAAGGTGAGGGCCAGGCGCAGATAAGCAAGCAGTTGGAGATTAAGAGCACATGGTAGAGTAAGCAAGTAAATGAGAGAGCTCTATCACGTCGATTTAGGTTCAGTCGTATGCTTCAGTTTAAGCTGCCCATTGAAAAATACCCCACAGTATAACTTCTGTCTAAAATAACCGCCACTTGGCGACATGTCCTCCTCAGCAAAAACCGAAGGTACAATTTTAGCACTAAATTTGAGGCAAACGTTTTGTGAATTGACCTACTTGTGGGACAGTGCAGGATAAGTTGCAGCCAGAATTTCCTAATCGACGAAAAATAGGTCCATCTGTAGAAAATTGGAGTTGCTGCAGCGAACCACGTAATCGTTTAATGGCCCATCTGAAGCGTACGTGGGCCCTCAACACTTCTTTTCGAATGCGTCGCTATTTTTCCTGCAGTGAAATACATGTGTCAGGATGTGCCATGGATGGGTTCCTGGACAACGTTCCACTTAAAACATGTTGCAGCTTTTTTTCTCTTTGAGCGGTAATATACTGCGACGGGATCGTCGGAGTGAAAGTGGCTGAAGTTATCAAAATCGACTTTCACAGAGCCTGGCTGCGTCCCTCCACGTATCGCAGAGGTACCCAGCCACCTATTGCATGACGGCAAATGAACGGAGATGACGAGAATCTCTTACTGGCACAAAACGCTGTTTCTGAAACAAATCGCTTGAGAGACCTGCATATCCTTCTGTTAGGGTCTGGTTGCACAAACGTTTGAGGCAACTACACAAAAGCTTTTCCCTAACCCGCCAAAATAATTAAACAACTTTTATTTCCTTGGGGCGCGTCGGCCGCACACTTCGGTTACCAACCAAAATCTCCTTTATTACCTGCGCAACTTCACATTTTACTGACTGAATTTCTTGCAAGTCTAACAATGATTCAAGGGAACCTATTACCTGGTCACACGATAGCAATTTTCGCCCCCAGGATTGTCTCAAATGATGCTCGTTTGCGAATCGCAGTCTTAAGGAATCAACCTCATTGTCCAACTTATACTACAAGGTCGTTTCAAACGGACAATCCTCTTGAAGATTCTTTGTCTTCTCCCGCTTATACAAAATGCAATCAGCTGTTTTACTCGTATTGCGTAGTGCGTGATTAGGCGTTGATACTACAATCCGAGTGACCAAGTATGAAAAGATCCGCGGAATAATAAGTACTTTCGCTTCCTTCTTGGTCACTGCTTTCAGTCACATTCTTACCTTTTATTTATCAGGAATGCTGCCTCTACTCGCAGCAAGCGGTGCGTCGGCGATAGTGATTTGTCCGCTTCAGCAGAGACAAAAATCGCACCAAGGAGACCTCTTTCCAACCACCACCACCACCTTATGCAGGTAGGCAAACCTCCAATAAAAGAAACCTACTCACACACGATGATTGAGGTGTTTATAATGCAACGTCAACGAGATTTCACGATTCCTATAACACATTGCAATGAACCGGTGTTGCCACCAGGATGTTTCACTGGATAACTAGTTTCCAGCATGCCTATTTGTCTTCAACTGCTGAATGCATAAAGGCTTAAAACAAATTTCTCAGGCGAATGAAAGTGTCCTGAGTGTGTGTTTGAAAAATTTGCCTGCGCAGGCAAAATGTCGGGCGACTTTATTTTAAACAAAGTTATGACACGGCTTTGTAGCCCTCTAAGGTAACGCGTGAGCACTTTGCTTTAGTACGAACGCAGAAGACAGGATGTGGGTATTTGATGATTTTACGGGCACTGATATTACTTAAACACTTTTGCAGAAAAGTTATGAAATTTTCGCAAATTAGCTAATTCAGACCGCCAAAACAGTCACCGCGCTATCTCGGTCGGAATTTTCTTGGACAAAATACACGAAATAAATCAGCAACAAGCCAAGCACAGTGTAATTTGTATGCTGGTAAGCACCATACATTTGTCTAAACGGTCGGGGTTTAGCGCACTACCTAAGCATTTTTGGCGTAAGTGCACAAGGATGTAAGCTTAGGAAACTGATAGTTCCAGACGGTTTTGTTGACCAGAGTAGCATTGGAATTCATTTGATACTTTTTTCGGCAGAGAATTTCCGAAGTCTTACACAGTCCAGACGTTTATTCACAATTTTGCTGCGCAGCCATACCAGTTTGAACATAACTCAAGCTTTAGTACTCCGTGGAATGCACACCAGCATTTAATCATCAGACAGCTCTGTCCACTCAGCCCTAGGACTGCGGCGGTGCATGACTGCATAGTCGTCAAGTGCAGAGCTATAAATTTCCTGTTACGCCCTGTAGAGTTTAGCGAAAGCACGTCCGAATGACCAGGCTCTGTTTCATAATATTTTGCTCTCCGGATGGCAACCTCATGGCCTCCACAGAGGCTGAACGTAGTGATAGAAGACAAAACTTAATGACATGCGCTGTCACATTGACTGCCGAGTAGGTTAATTCTAGCAACAAACCGCAAGAACACGATGTGCGTTTTCGGCGAAGTCACCTGTACTAAGAGGCTAACATGCGATTTCCTGAAGCATTTTTATTGATGACACACACTATTATAAATTTTTGTTTTTGCCGACTATTGAATTCAATATGCCCAAGACCTTGCCGGTAAATAACAAGTTTTTTGAAAAACGGGCTATTGTTTCATTGAAAACAAATGGCCCAAGGCTTTCAGCCGTTAGAACTCTCACTCACAAACTTTAAACGCCCGAACTGTTGTGATCGTTTGCGACGGTAGCTGAAAAAATAAGAGTTTGAATCCGGCCTTTGCCAGTATCACTGCACCGGTGATAATACTGATAAAAGAGGCATGTATGTAATATGACTTCTCGTAAATTCTCTTGGAATCTCTTGAAAAGTTTGAGCTATGGCACAATTTGTGGGGTCGCTCTGTGGATTTTGTTGGATTTTAGCAACAGTCAGTGATTAAAAATGAAAGTTCAGGAAGGCGCGTTCGAATAGAAGGGTGACATTTTGCTTTTGGAAACAAGATGCATGAGATATTTGCTTCACTGTCCAACGTTCTGTTGGCAATTTCTGATAACTTCGCAGCGGAGGCCTTCTTCCTTTCATTTGGAGCCGTGACCAGAATAAGGAAGAAGATCCTGTGGCCACAACCCTTTGAGGGTGGGCATGTGTGGACCTCCCTGGAGGACTTGTAGGAGGTTGCGGAAGCTGTTAAACTGGATGCCGACTGGGGTAATTTATCGGCACTAAAGACCCTCCTCAAGGGGCGGTCGGAGGCGGCCTTGGATGTGGCCGCAAAGCAAGTCGTTGTAGCGGGGTTTGACAAGGTCGCCGATCGCCAGGAGGCCGTAAGGCGACCGCGTTGTTCGCAGGCCTGCTGCAGACGTTCGATCGCGCTTTGCTGGACTGGACGGAGTGTCGCGCCACCAATTTCTTTTTGACCAGTACACTGAAGGAAAGCAGCCCGCCCTTGGTCCCCCGTTGTGGTTGGCGAGAGCGACTGGTTAGTTTCGTGTGAAGCAGCTGGTGCAACTGACACGGGAACTGAACGAATCACCACTGGCCATGTACCAGTCGGAGGAAAAAAGAATGGTTCAACATTTTCATGGGAGGAGCATCACATGGGTGATTGGCCTGTAAGACCAGAGGTTAAGGGTGAGATCCCAAAAATTGTGCTTGTTTGTGGCTGGCTAAACGGTGACAGGCGATGCACATAAAAATTGGGTGACACATTTCTGATGTCTACCAATTTTAGTGACAATGATTGTGAAATTAATTCATGATGATAAGATTGAACTATGCTCATTCGACGCCGCCGTAAATTGTTCTGTTCGGGCATGCCACAAGAAGTATCACGCTGTCGACACCTTCTAACTTCCATGAGGTCGAGATGCAATTATCGTGATGTACTACCTGAAAACCCACAAAACATTTAGTAGCTCAATGATAATGCTAACAGATCAATTGTATTTCGTTGTGCTCGAAGAATGTGTTACATCCATTTATATCCATTCTTAAATGTAAACAAAACGTTATTGTGAAACGTTCCGGCCGATCCAACAGATATTTGCTTGGCTGCTTCCGCTGTTCGGGCTTAGCTTACGAACAATGTCATAGGAAAAATGCAGTTGTAGGTAGCAGGTCAATAGACGCAACCTAATCTTTGACAAACGATTGTCAAGTGGCAACGCGCCCCTTTCTACAACCCTTGTACCCGAGCGCAAGCTAAACCTTGTATTCATCGAAGGGAGTTTCGTTAAGCACTGCATATTAGACATAACATATGCCAGGATGGCTCTCACGATAATGTAAAGATGGTTTTCTCGGGTTACTGGGATAGGATTGAAAAGCTTATTCAACACGATTGCAGGTCGCCGCGATTAGCTACCCATGCAAACAGTAATTAGAGATTTACATAACGTATACAATGTTTGCAAATTTATGCGTAATTTACTTACTAATGAAAACCGACACAAGTCCACACGCAAAAATTCTTTGGGCAAATATCTTTTACGCGTTGACTCCACTCGAGAGGTGAAGTCCGCAGCAAAACTGAACCCGGATTTATCGGAACACATTATTTATCAGCTGCAAAAGTATTTCGGCCTGTTTGATCTCCCTACCAAACGTGACATGCCGCGGTCTTTGTGCGGCATATTCTTCAAAAGCGATTGATTTCGGCTTTAATTGAGCTCACAGTTAAGGCAAACTTGGGTCTTAAATTTTTTAATATACTCATCCATATTGACGTCAAATGTGTTAACACCGGCGGTCAGCAATTATATACCGAGCGGTTAGGTTTTCAAAAACTATAAGGAACGTCGCGTTTTTCAGATTACCTGTGTTTTTGGAGATACATAGAGCGGACAGTTTCTGGTGAGGGAATAAGTGATGTAAGCTGATTGCCGGATTTTGGTGAAAGAGTGGATTAAATGACATGACAAAATCACCAAATATTTTAGCACCATCATCACACTTCCCACTTTATATAGAGAGGAACCTGAACTGACGAGGGCCAGTTCCTCACGCACCGCTGCGACACTGAGCTCAACTTAATGAACACAGCGAAGAATGAAGCAAGCCAAGATTTGCAGATCGAATGTACACGTCATTGTACTTCTAAAGCATATCCATAGGGACGGCCCTTGCCTGCTTCCTTCCATACATCAGTTACAACAGGCAGCACACGGGAGGGTAAAGCAGCCGGATACGGCTGTACTGCGTTTATTGCATTTTGATTGCCCACTTAGAGCGATATATTAACAGATCTTGAAGGCAGTCAGCTATATCTGTTCGCCAAGAGGTTAGTCGGTTTGCTCGCAGTGCTGGACAATCTGACTGCGAGTATTTCGTCACCAATCGAGATGACATCATCAGCGTTTTATGGGGGATGGCGTGTGTTGCGACGGGTTGGTGGTTGTTTTAATTTTCCTGGGTGCAACCCCTCATTTGATACAGAAAACTTACTTGATACCTATTGCCCAAATTTGGATTAATTGCCCTTGAAGTAATTTTCAAAACATAAAGCCTGTAGATGTATGACTTTGGTTTGTCAAAGTTTCTGGAACACAAACTATTCGGCATGCTCTCCAACAAGGTGGACGCCTCTGCGCCTATTAATATGGTGAGATGTGATAGGACAGAACCGGTGCCCACATAGACCGGTAGAATTGCAGTACAGCTGTTTGAGCAAGCGTACGGCATGAAAAACCAGACGCAGCAGCGGAGAGCAGGATTGAATGCAAGACTGAATGCAAGATTGAATGAAAGACTTACTGAGGACGACCTCTTTATTCACAACCGTAATGACTGATAATCTGGCCTGCTGAATAATGTAGTAGTTGATAAATAGGGCTTCTGTGCTCATCATAGTGTCAGGCAGAATTTCCATATTAGTATTTAAGTAGGTACGTTACCGTCAAAACTTCTTAGCCACAGCTATACAAATTCATATATTAATAAACTGCATGCAATATCTTTATTTTTTATATCGTTTTATTTCTTCAGTAAGCCCACTGAACAATTCAATAGATGTGTGTACCAATCAATAAGCCATTAACTCTCCCTAATTCGATGAAAATTTTAGTTTTTTTTTTACATGTCAACACGACCAAATTTTCAGTTTGTAATGAGTTATTAGAATCAGATCCATCTGTGTCCTCTCAGCTTGACTCCTCAACAGCCTATCAATAATTGGGTTAACATATAGCGAAAATTACAGTATGCCCTGTCTGATCGTCCAGGGCTGAGATGCCAAATGAACCACCACTCGTGTAGCAGGAAAGTCCATCGCCCCGAAGTTATTTGTTAGAAAGTACCAACTAAACAATTACAAACCATAAGGCAGGAAAGAGGAACACTCATGCATCTTTGAAAAAAAGGTTATACGCCTTCATTTTGAGCACGTTTTGTTGCAATTTCCTGGATACTCAATGACTACCACGCAGTTGTAAAATAATCCTGCTAAGCAGTTTTGCAAATTCCTTGATAAATCTCACCCCCGACTAGAACAAAAACACACTGCTCGCATCCTCCATCACTATTATCGTAGCCCACTCAAATCACTCGAGTTTTTGTATAGCTTAGGATTTGCGACTTGCATCAACCGGACTTTCTGCGCACCAAACAGTGTACTGCTAAAATTTGACGAATGACTATGTCGTGGCCGTGGGGTTTACAGTCTGACCCCGGTGACGTGCGATTATTCACATCTTCAACCATCAGCGTTTTTAGTAAAACACACAAGGATGCCGCTGCGCCCACCAGAAAATATAAGGTTTGTTGTTTTGCTTACTCATGAGTAGGGTGTCGAAAAGCAACGTTCCCAAAATCAACCCTCTGTGTAGAAAACAAACCTTCGTAACTGTTGGCCAATAATATTAAGTTAAATTTCACACCGGCTCTTTCTTCTGGAAAATATACCTTGCTATTAGAATGACGAAAAAATATTGTGACTTCAAACTAGAGCCCAGATGGAGTCTTATGTTGACCTGGTCGGACATGTATCTCCTTGGACACATTATGAGTACAGTGGAATAAAGAAAGCTACGGAAGCTATACCAGACTCTCTACCACTATTGCATTCAACAGACTAGACGGGTTTTACTTTGCCAGGCCACCATTCATTTAATGGCAGTCTCAACACATGGTTTCTATTTAAGCATCGAGTGGCCCGGAGGACAATTTTCAAGCTAATTGTAATATCTCGGTACATTTTTTCACAGGTCCACCAATTCTCAAAAGTTCACAGTCGAATTTCGTTTTTTGAGAGTTCATCTAATCTTTATTATTTGCTAACAAATGTCTGTCTGTTTGGAGCGGAAAGTCTATGTATGGTTCTCGTCATAAGTGTGCGTTGCAAGCTGGTGCAAATTATAATTCTTATTGCAGCATAAAAAACGGGTTATCATGAACGCTGTTTACCGACAAAAATCTCAGGAACTGAGCACAAAAGCGGAAGCGGACATCCTGACGGAGGGATGATTGATACCACTTTTCATATCTCCCAAAGAAGAATCGGGAGTAACAGGTTGCAACTTCTGATTGATATTTACGGTATTTTATGTTGATAAGATTGCCCACTTTTATTTCATTTGTTCCGAGAGGGTACGGATTATAGTGTGGGAGACCTAATGGTAAAATATTTCGACACTCAAATGTACTCCCCTGTTGTGTTATAAACGCAAACTTAAGTCGAATGTCCGTGTATGCCGCAGGATAAAACTGCCGGAAGATTGGATCCTGAAATTTTTATTCTACTTTAATACTGGTTCCTGGACTCGTAATCGCAGAGCGAGGCATATATCACGCTGTCGGAAAAAACAGTGGTTGTTCCATTTCACTCATATGATTCAAACTGTCACCTATGTGATCTACAGCGGCGTCCACAGACACCGCACTTGTATTGGTGCTCTCTACTTCTGTGCACGATTCCTGAAAATCATTCCGTCCAGGCTGATCTGACAGGGCCACTGATAATGTGATACACACCGCAAAATCTAGTTTTCGTTACCTCAAATTAAGAACAATATATGGCTGCTTCCCGAGGCAAGTTGGTTTACTTTCTGCGTGTAAGCCGGAAAGCTATGGTCTATGCCCACGAAAACCCTATACATTTTCGTAATCTTCTTAGCACTGCAGTGCCTACGCTTGCGTAAGTTCACGCAAGTGAAACCACAGCTAAGGTTTTGGTCGGACTCAGACCGACCGAAAAACATAATATTTCTCTCAGGTGACAAATGGTGCTGAAGCTTAATGAGTCCACAAACATTAATGTACGAAGATCTCCGAGTGTAAACTTTCTAGTATTTCTGTTGGAACCCTTGAAAAACTGTTTACAAGCAAAGAGCACAGCAAAATTGAAAGCTGGGTTAATCCATCACAACCTATCGGCTGAGATGTTGCTAGCTAAAAGTTCATTAAAGGTATACTGGAGTACTGAAAAATGGAAGGTTTTACGATTTTTGAAGCGCGGGGTGTTCAAAAAGTGTGAGGATGAGGCTGAGAAAAAAATTGACGTTGGTGTGTAATTTGTCGACTCATTTAACAAACCCTGTTTAGGTAATTGCATGCGAGTTTGTATGGAAACTGAGCTCGTTATCCGTCGGGTACATAACATAGGCTGATTGAAAAATATAGTGGACCAGATGATGACGTTTTGACGAGCCGCCTGCATGGAGCAATCTCGATTGGAAAAATTATGCGTTTTTTGGGTGGGTGAATCCCGAGATATTTTATTGATCACGTAGGTGGTAACCGCGGCCAACAACATTCTTTCAGTTGGCGCTCTTTTGATTGTACCACGCCCAGGTATACTCGGTTGTGATTTTTGCTCCTTAATACCCTTTATTTTATCTGCAGCATAATACAGAGGAAAAGTTATCAGAGAGGTGAGTGAAGAGCTTCACGACTAATAATCCACTGCAGGCATCAAATCTTGTCCAGCGGCGAAGGCCATACGAGCATACAGCAGTTGCAGGTAACTAGCGCAACAGCATCCTTTTACACCTTAGATTGATTTTTTGTACTGCTAAATATAGAAATGTCCATGGCGAGCGCATCATAGTCCACGTAGAGCTGACAGATTTGACCACTTATTGAAAGGGACAAAACCTGGGGACGACTTCTAAAGGCTACTCCAAGGTGCTTACCGACACCTTCCTGTCATGAGTCTTGTGAAAATGATGTTTCAGTTCTTTAAGATCTCGAAAGCTGTTTGACCTTCAGGTGACCTGTGTTGCCTACGTTTTGACAACCCACAGACGTGTGTTCACGTGTGTCTTCATACTGACTTGTTTCCTGATAAGAAACAGTCGTCAAACCAAACAGGAAAGAACATTCAGGTGGAATGTGGCTGTCGGGATATAAGCCGCCGATTAGCTTCGTTAAGAGCACAACGGGAGTTCACCGATGTATTCTTTCGTTGTGGGCTAGCCAGAATACTACGGGGGGATAGAAAAAGTTATAGAACAAGAGTGTTGTTGACGCAAAATTTACAAAGCAAGCTGATGCATAAAACGGACGATGGACAATTTAATAGCTATTTTTATTATCGTGATATGGCAATGATTCATTTTCCAAGAGAAGTCTGTGGAACCCTACGGGTTAGTGTTTAACCCCCGGTCGCTTCGACAAGTTTGTGGACGCAGAAATACCACCTAGAGTTGATGTCCACAAACTTTGTACGTAGTCTGCGAAACAGAGATAGATTAGAAAAACAGGTAGTCAGCGTGCTTAGCGCGGCAATTGCAAACGGCCGCTTAGCACTTAATATGGGCAGTGAGTCACATGCTAAAAATGAAGAGGATGCGATACTTCTGTTGAGGAAATACCGCCTTCAGAATCTAACGTATGCATGTTTCGTTGTCACCGCAGCGGCCTGTATTTAGAAAAAACGGTTACATAAAATTCATTGAGGATATCATTTGCCGCAAAATACCAACCCGCTCTTCAACAAAAGCAATAAAACACCAACGCAACGGTCCAATATTTGCCTGGCAATCATTGTCGCAAAATCTCGTATTGTGCATTGAGGTCACCCAACTGCACTCTGGTTGTCGAAATAAATTACGACTGTTAGCACATCTGAAAATTTATCAGAATAATTCCACCAAAATTCCTTTGGTTGAATTGGCCGACTTCAGATAATGTGAGTAAAACCGTCTTATCTCAGGGAGATGTATGCAACAGTAGCTGTTTCACAATAACACCGCTTGAATAAAAGCATAATACTCGTGATTATGGGCGGCACGCTTCGTGAAACCTTCTCGGGTTTTCGCCTACTGATAAATGGTTTAGGCAATAATATTCAAAACAATTCTTGCGATAATGCCGACTCAGTTTACGGCAAGAAAAACTGATTCAAATTGTCCTACCCAAAGATATATACGTGCATATGCAAATAGAGTATGATCAGGCTTGTTCAGTTCCAATGAGCAGGGTCAGAGTTTGACCCCATACTGACGCAATCTCGCCAGATCCCATTTAAGAAACCTAAACTTTCGGAATGGCTTTGTACTGCATAAACTCGATAATCTTTTATCATTTTCAATTCGAGAAAACCAAACTTCCATTATGCTGGCGCATTTGCATAATTGTGGAAGTATGGATAAGCCAATTGCGTAGTGAGCGTTATTCTGTGCTGAAATTCCATAGAGGATTTGAATTTCTAGCCTCAACAGTCCGGCGTATATCACAAGTAATACAACTGCTGTGGTAGTCACTATTCGCAATCTGCATCAAAATAATGGAGCAACTAACTTTTTCGTGCCCGTTCTGCTGATTTGCTGCTGATATTTTGGGAATTATGTATGTTGGGTGGCGTTTTCTGACTTGCCGCTTAAACTATTATGCAGAAACTTTTCAACTACAGGACGCCACATAATACATCCCGGGCCAGTAGGCCCACTGCCGAACTACAGGACGATAATACATCCCGGGCCAGTAGGCCCACTGCCGAAGTAGGTCGTACGTCTTATTGCATCCTGTATGTGCCATCTTACGGCCGGCAATGTTGAGCTCCCGTCTCAAGACGCGAGTTATCACGTACAGCACAGCATCCAAATCAGTGGCTTCCAATTGGCTATTCAATTGTCCATCGTCCGTTTTATGCATCAGCTTGCTTTGTAAATTTTGCGTCAACAACACTCTTGTTCTATAACTTTTTCTATCCCCCCGTAGTATTCTGGCTAGCCCACAACGAAAGAATACATCGGTGAACTCCCGTTGTGCTCTTAACGAAGCTAATCGGCGGCTTATATCCCGACAGCCACATTCCACCTGAATGTTCTTTCCTGTTTGGTTTGACCACCCAGAATGACTGTTTCTTATCAGGAAAGAAGTCAGTATGAAGACACACGTGAACACAAGTCTGTGGGTTGTCAAAACGTAGGCAATACAGGTCACCTGAAGGTCAAACAGCTTTCGGTATCTTAAAGAACTGAAACGTCATTTTCACAAGACTCATGACAAGAAGGTGTCGGTAAGCACCTTTGAGTAGCCTTGAGAAGTCGTCCCCAGGTTTTGTCCCTTTCAATAAGTGGTCAAATCTGTCACCTCTACGTGGACTACGATGCTCTCGCCATGGATGCTTCTGTATTTAGCAGTACAAAAATTCAATCTACGATGTAAAAGGATGCTGCTGCGCTAGCTACCCGCAACTGCTGTATGCTCGTATGGCCTACCCTGCTGGACAAAATTTGATGCCTGCAGTGGATTATTGGTCGTTAAGCTCTTCACTCACTTCGCTAGTAACTTTTCCTCCGTATTATGCTGCGGATAAAATAAAGGGCATCAAGGAGCAAAAATCACAACCGAGTATACCTGTGCGTGGTACAATCAAAAGAATGTTATTGACCGCGGTTACCATCTACGTGATTGATCACCCACTCAAAAAACACATAATTTCTCCCCTCGAGATTGCTCCATGCAGGCGGCTCGTCAAAACGTCATCACCTGGTTCACTATAGTTTTCAACCAGCCTATGTTATGTACCCGACGGATAACGAGCTCAGTTTCCATACAAACTCGCATGCAATTACCTAAACAGGGTTTGTTAAATGAGTCGACAAATTACACACCAACGTCAATTTTTTTCTCAGCCTCATCCTCACACTTTTTGAACACCCCGCGCTTCAAAAATCGTAAAACCTTCCATTTTTCAGTACTCCAGTATACCTTTAATGAACTTTTAGCTAGCAACATCTCAGCCGATAGGTTGTGATGGATTAACCCAGCTTTCAATTTTGCTGTGCTCTTTGCTTGTAGACAGTTTTTCAAGGGTTCCAACAGAAATACTAGAAAGTTTACACTCGGAGATCTTCGTACATTAATGTTTGTGGACTCATTAAGCTTCAGCACCATTTGTCACCTGAGAGAAATATTATGTTTTTCGGTCGGTCTGAGTCCGACCAAAACCTTAGCTGTGGTTTCACTTGCGTGAACTTACGCAAGCGTAGGCACTGCAGTGCTAAGAAGATTACGAAAATGTATAAGGTTTTCGTGGGCATAGGCCATAGCTTTCAGGCTTACCTGCGGAAAGTAAACCAACTTGCCTCGGGAAGCAGCCATATATTGTTCTTAATTTGAGGTAACGAAAACTAGATTTTGCGGTGTGTATCACATTATCAGTGGCCCTGTCAGATCAGCCTGGACGGAATGATTTTCAGGAATCGTGCACAGAAGTAGAGAGCACCAATACAAGTGCGGTGTCTGTGGACGCCGCTGTAGATCACATAGGTGACAGTTTGAATCATATGAGTGAAATGGAACAACCACTGTTTTTTCCGACAGCGTGATATATGCCTCGCTCTGCGATTACGAGTCCAGGAACCAGTATTAAAGTAGAATAAAAATTTTCAGGATCAATCTTCCGGCAGTTTTATCCTGCGGCATACACGGACATTCGACTTAAGTTTGCGTTTATAACACAACAGGGGAGTACATTTGAGTGTCGAAATATTTTACCATTAGGTCTCCCACACTATAATCCGTACCCTCTCGGAACAAATGAAATAAAAGTGGGCAATCTTATCAACATAAAATACCGTAAATATCAATCAGAAGTTGCAACCTGTTACTCCCGATTCTTCTTTGGGAGATATGAAAAGTGGTATCAATCATCCCTCCGTCAGGATGTCCGCTTCCGCTTTTGTGCTCAGTTCCTGAGATTTTTGTCGGTAAACAGCGTTCATGATAACCCGTTTTTTATGCTGCAATAAGAATTATAATTTGCACCAGCTTGCAACGCACACTTATGACGAGAACCATACATAGACTTTCCGCTCCAAACAGACAGACATTTGTTAGCAAATAATAAAGATTAGATGAACTCTCAAAAAACGAAATTCGACTGTGAACTTTTGAGAATTAGTGGACCTGTGAAAAAAATGTACCGAGATATTACAATTAGCTTGAAAATTGTCCTCCGGGCCACTCGATGCTTAAATAGAAACCATGTGTTGAGACTGCCATTAAATGAATGGTGGCCTGGCAAAGTAAAACCCGTCTAGTCTGTTGAATGCAATAGTGGTAGAGAGTCTGGTATAGCTTCCGTAGCTTTCTTTATTCCACTGTACTCATAATGTGTCCAAGGAGATACATGTCCGACCAGGTCAACATAAGACTCCATCTGGGCTCTAGTTTGAAGTCACAATATTTTTTCGTCATTCTAATAGCAAGGTATATTTTCCAGAAGAAAGAGCCGGTGTGAAATTTAACTTAATATTATTGGCCAACAGTTACGAAGGTTTGTTTTCTACACAGAGGGTTGATTTTGGGAACGTTGCTTTTCGACACCCTACTCATGAGTAAGCAAAACAACAAACCTTATATTTTCTGGTGGGCGCAGCGGCATCCTTGTGTGTTTTACTAAAAACGCTGATGGTTGAAGATGTGAATAATCGCACGTCACCGGGGTCAGACTGTAAACCCCACGGCCACGACATAGTCATTCGTCAAATTTTAGCAGTACACTGTTTGGTGCGCAGAAAGTCCGGTTGATGCAAGTCGCAAATCCTAAGCTATACAAAAACTCGAGTGATTCGAGTGGGCTACGATAATAGCGATGGAGGATGCGAGTACCAAGCCCTCAGCGCGGGACCCCATAAAACGCTGATGATGTCATCTCGATTGGTGACGAAATACTCGCAGTCAGATTGTCCTGCACCGCGAGCAAACCGACTAACGCCTTGGCGAGCAGATATAGCTGACTGCCTTCAAGCCCTGTTATTATATCTCTCTAAGTGGGCAATCGAAATGCATTGAACGTAGTACAGCGGTATTCTGCTGCTTTACCCTCCCGTGTGCTGCCTGTTGTAAGTGATGTATGGAAAAAAGCAGACAAGGGCCGTCCCTAAGGATATACCTTGAAAGTTCAATGACGTGTACATTCGATCTGCAAATCTTGGCTCGCTTCATTCTTCGCTGTGTTCATTAAGTTGAGCTCAGTGTCGCAGCGGTGAGTGAGGAACTGGCCCTCGTCAGCTCCGGTTCATCCTTATGTAAAGTGGTAAGGATGATGATGGTGTTGAAATATTTGGTGATTTTGTCATATCACTTAATCCACTCTATCACTAAAATCCGTTGATCAGCTTGCATCACCTATTCCCTCGCCAGAAACTGTAAGCTGTATGTATCTCAAAAAACACAGGTAATCTGAAAAACGGAAGCTTCCTTATAGTGTTTGAAAACCTAACCGTTTGGTATATAATGGCTGACCTCCGGTGTTAACACCTTTGACGTCAATATGGATGAGTATATTAGAAAATTTAGAACCCAAGTTCGCCTTAACTGTGAGCTCAATTGAAGCCGAAATCAACCGCTATAGAGGAATATGCCGCACAAAGACCGCGGCATGTCCCGTTTGGTAGGGAGATCAAACAGGTCGAAATACATTTGCAGCTGATGAAAAATGTGTTTCGATAAATCCGAGTTCAGTTTTGCTGCGGACTTTACTTCTCGAGTGGAGTCAACGAGTAAAAGATATTTGCTGAAAGAATGTTTGCGTGTGGACTTGTGTCGGTTTTCATTTGATGAAAAATTCGATAAATCCGAGTTCAGTTTTGCTGCGGACTTTACTTCTCGAGTGGAGTCAACGAGTAAAAGATATTTGCTGAAAGAAAAGAAGCGTGTGGACTTGTGTCGGTTTTTTTTTGTAAGGAAAATACTTATA